CGAAGAAGATTGAGCACATCATAGTTCTTGCCCAGCAGGCTAACAGGAATGCCCATCATAACCGCGACTCGCTCCACAGTGTCCACAGCTCCAGAGGGTTGACGTTCCCACCATTTTTCCATCTTTTCAATGTTGGTATTGAGCACCGTGCGTTTCGAGTCAGAGATAGGGAGTTCTTTGAGCCACTTTGCGTAGGCTCGAATGGCCAGGGTGCTTGGTGTGTGGTCCAGAAGGCACTGATTAGTGGTGGTTGGTACTGACAAGAGGCAGCTAGGATCGAAAGCTGGTGGAGTGGAGCTGGGAGGATTGACAGGTTGTCCATGTAGTGCTCGACCAATGGCTGTGCCTGCAGGATTGGGGCCTGTCGGTGAAGGACCTGTCGATGCAGAAGGTTCTGCAGGAGAAGTTCCCAGTTGTTGCTTGAGTTGAGCAAGTTGATTGCGGAGCTGGGTGATCTCTTGCTGGGATTCTGGATCGGTGGTCCGTGCAGGAAGCCAGCCTTGAATGATTTGCTGAGCAGCATACTTGGTGTTCGCGGTTTTATCCAACACTTTGCCATCCTGTCTAGCCCGATAGTTGGATACTCTGTCCAAATCGATGCCTCTTCCTCGAAGCCAGCAACTCCATCATGAATACCACAGCTGCGAATGTCACCAGTCGGAATGAGGTACACCTCTCTGCCGTGAGCCAGTTTCCGAAGCCAGTTGTTGTTGGCCTGTTGATATAACAAGGCCGCCACCGGAAGAGTCAATGTATCACAGCCTTCAATGTCAAGTCGTTGAGTGAATGCCGACTGGCGAATGGTTCGGGGAAAGGTGAGGCCATTGGCCTTTTGATTGTCGAAGTGATCTTTATCCGCTTGCCAACTGGCGTTGAGATCAAAGCCTTCATTGACCCTAGATGGCGAGTGGATGTCTCCATGTGGAGAAGCTGCAGAGCGAGGTTGAGACGGAGAAATGGATGGTGTTCCTGGAGAACAGGGCTGAGTAGGTGAACAAAGAGGTGTGGATGGATAATGGGATGTTGAGATACCTGGTGGACGTGGATATGGAAGAGTTGCCGGTGGAGTTCCAGGTGGGACAGGTGGAAACGGCTGAGATGGCCATTGTGGCGACGTGGAAGTGTTCATCCCGCGGGGACCAAATGTATAAGGTCCCGACTGTTGCATCATCCAAGGGGTGTTCAACTGAGGTCTGGGCATGTTATTTAAGTGTCGGACTGCTGCGCCCATAGGCCCACACCATCGTGGAAAACCTGGAAGAGGTCCATTGTGCAATGGGCCACGAGCATCCGATCGATTGCGTTGAGAAGGAGGCGAACGAGATCGATCTGACTCCGCCATGGTGCAAATGATGCAACTCGAGCACTACCCTACACTGTCAAAACCTGGCTGCTGGCAGAGTTAATGGTTGTTGTCAAACAATCAAATCAAACGCAACACTAGCAATCGCTCAGGGTTGAAGGCTGGTTGACATCAATACTTCAAACACTGACAAACCACAAGTGAGAAAGAAAAGGAAAAAGAAAAAAAAAGCAAGCAAAAAGGACAAGGAACCAGAAGACCAAAGAGGTAAGGTCAAAGGAAATCAACTGAAGTGCAGATTGCGACAACCGTGCTGACAAATATATTTTCTCAAACGCTGCGTCCAGGTTTCCCTAGAAATCGTCAACCGGTGTACGGTGAAAGTTACATTACATGAAACCACACTATGTCCCAACGCTCAGAGTGCCTTCATCGGTCATGGTTCCTTAGTGTCCTCAGGTGGCTAAGATGGACGCTTGGTCTTGCCATCTTTGCGATAGGTGCAGTCATCCGAGGATGAGTCCTCGTCCTCCGGTTCAGGATGTTGTTTCCATCGAACTGCGATGAAGTGAACTCCCACATGCTCGCTGTGAGCAATCGTATACTTCTCTGACGTGGTCACGACGCCAACTTTGGCCACCTGGACCTGTGCCCATTCGTTGCCACCAGCCTTGAACTTTGTATGGGCACACGCCCCTCTGAAGATTGCCCCCATGACAATGCGTTGCTGACCTTTTCCAGTAAGATTTGCGCTGTCAAGCAGTTCCTTCTTTGTCCAATCTGGATATTGGAGATCATTGGGTATCATTCTTCCCAAGTAGTAGGCCCCAAAGGTGGGTAATTCACACTTGGCCAAGTTAGTCCGATATGTCCAGTTGGCCGGGCGAATGACTCCTTCTGCAAGGATGTGTTGAGCCCCAGAGATGGTTGTTCCGTGAGCCAGAGCCCACGTGAAGCTGGTAGCTTTCTTGAAGGGCGGTGGTTGCGGAAACCGTGCCAAGTCTGCCAAATGAATCACCAGCGCTCTGGTGGACGTTGTTGGAAGTTCCGTGATGGAGATCATGGCTGGAGTGAGCTCTGACAAAAGGTCCGTGGAGCCCAGGATCTCGGCCATCTCTCGCGCTACCCAATCAGGAATCTATTTATCATGGGCCTTGACATGTCGATTCCTTCTTGTAGCTGTTCTTGATCAACTGCTCGGCTGATGGTTGGACGTTCGTCGTCCTTGACTTCACATGGTGCTTTCATGCGATGTTTGTGCTTGAGAGCAAACTTCACGTCGTTGATCCATTCATGTGTCGACTCTTCCTTGAGGGACAGCTTGACCATGCCTGGAGGTACTTCTGAGCCCGTGGCAGATTGGCGGTCCCAATCAGTAGAGTTGTAGTCGTGCAATTGCCAGGAGGAATGTGGCTGTTTGGCCGAGAAGGCTGTGAGTGGTTTGGAATGGGAGCGTGGAGCAGCTTTGAGGGTGGCATGACGGTAGGAAGACTGTGATGGGATTGACTGTAAGAGGGCTTGTCCCATTCCTCTTGATGCTGGCGACGCCAGGAGGATTGCTTTGGTGGATAGGTCCAAGTATCCTTCGAGTCCCAAGCTTCATTAGTAGACCACTTTGAGGGAGGATGTTGATGGTACGTGTGATCAACTGGATACGAGGAGGTCCAGGTATCATCTTTGCCAAAGTGGGATGAATGCTTTCGAGGTGACAGAGATCGGTGGCCATGATCGATATCATGACTTGAATGATGTCTGGAATGAGTGCTGGTGCCGCGTCGGGATGGAGTGGCCGAACGAAGTTGAACCGAAGAGGGTCGCTTGGGATGGCGAGGAGATCTGCGTGACTCCGATCGATAGCGACGATGTCCCCGTTCTCGTCGTGGGCTTCTTGTCGAGGACAAGGCACGTTTGTCAGGAACTGGTGAGCGGGTGCCCCTGACTGGGGAGCGTACTCCTCTGGGTGGGGATCTGAATCGTCGATGTACAGACGGTGGAAGCTCTGAAGGAGGAGTGTGCCGGATAGGTGGAGGTGGAGTTGGTGGTGTGCTTTGAGTCTGGTGTTGACGTTGGAGTGGACGACGTTCCAATGAGGAAGCCGCCGCTGCAGCAAGGCCATCTTGAATGGACTGTTTCACCTGGTTGATCATCTTGTCATTGTTAAACTGTGCTGCAGGAGGGCCTGCAGTTGGAGTTGGTACTGGTGGAGTGGAATCTGCTTGAGAGGGAGATGGATGAGAGCCAGTGTGGCCCGTGACTGGTGGGAAGTTCGATGATGGTTGAAGAGACGATTGACTTGCCAGCTGCTGGAGGTTCTGAAGGTTCTGCATGTGTGTCACATGCTGAGTATGGAGCTGTTGATTGAGAAGTGCATTCGGTTGGTTCAGTGCCTGAATCTGAGCTTGTGACTGAGCCTGAGCTTGTTGAGTCATAGGGTCCGGACTGCAAAACTGTCCCTGTGGATTTTGCATCATCGTTGGTGCCATTGATGATGTGGAAAACATAGGTCCCCACGATGCTTCCATCGAAGGGCTTTGCGATGGCCAGTTTCGAACGTTCCATGGGAAGGGAAACATGGCCACAAAAAGGAATGTCAGGTAAACAGTTCAACAGTTTTAACCGTGATGCATCCACGCCTAACATGCATAGTCACCTGATTTTGGCTCACAGGCCAGAGGTCAAGTCACAACCCTGTAAACAGCTTTAGCAGTCAACCCCTGAATTAAATGCACAATTGAACCTCACCAACGACCAAAAAAGAAGAATCACCATACCTGCAGGCATGTCCTTTGACCTGTTCATGCAAAAGGCTGCGGTCACTCTCTTGAGATAACGCCAAGATTGTTAGCGCAGCTTCAGGCTACAGACCCTTGCGTCACTGAGAAATGGTGAAGCCAATCACGGCGGCCAGCAGTTTAACCAAACGACCGTCAAAGTGAGACCTGAAACAAAAGGCCAGCTGTTTCACTTAAACGAATTACTAGGTTGAAAATTGTAAATTCGAAAGTCAAGTCATGGCGTTGAAATCCTGCTTAGACAAGCATTCCCCGAGGGGCTCACAACATCATGTCGAAATGCGCTGTGAGTAACACACTTGCTCAGAATTGTCTTATCAAATTTTGGTGTGGAGTGCGTCTTACGTGCAAAACACACTTCAGTAGACCTGACAGGAGTGAGTGATCGACCGGTCTAGAGTATGAATCAAAAAGTTTTCCTGAACAGCTAGAGGCAAACGGTTTGAAGTAGTCCCTTCCTTTCTTCAAGGCAAGATCATTACCCTGTACCAGATTGCGACAACAGTGCAGCGACATCGAAAGTTAGAAACTATTGGTTCGACTTGCCGGTTCTTGGCTTAGCCGGTTGCCATGCAGGAGGAAATACACATTGCAAAATGAAATGGAAAAGCAGGTACGTCGATCCAGCGTCCCGGATCGATATCACAGAATGTCATAGCCGTCTTCGTTGGCTGCAGGACTATGACATTCCCTGCAGCCCCCTGCTTGGAAATGTGACATGTGAAAAAACAAGACCGAAATTCCTAGATAACAAGTCAATTTCGCAATGAAGTAACAAACAAAAACGAAAGCAAAAACTTTACATCTCTTCAGATGTTCCACACACACATATATATATATATTTATACATGTAGCGCGCAATCGATTTGAATAACTTTATTAAGAACATTTTGCTCAGCCCCAAGGTTGAGGAGCCACATATCATCCTATCTGGATGTGCCGGGACTGTGCGCTGAGCGAGCCACAGCTCGCGAAAACTACTCACGAAAGGCGAGCGCTGCGCTTTGTTGAGCTTCACGTTTGTGAATCATTCAGCAGCGGCCCAGGCTTTTGTTGCTCAGCTTGTGCAACTTGCTCGACCTGACACGCCTCTCACTCAGATCGGAAAGTGTGACAGTGGGCAATTGGAATGAAGAAACTTTGGCCAAGAAGCAGTTCGTTGCAAGGCCTGACGTGCTCCTCACAGCCGGCGACATTTATGTGGAGAACGAGGATCAGATTCCACAGCTGGAGCAAGCGCTTGCTCGGGACAGCTTCCAAGTCTTTGCAGGACTTCAAGGTGCAACTATTTTGGACACACAGATGTCGGCTGGCATTTCTTGTCCCAACCACTTAAATGAATTTAGACATATTTAGACTATTGTCAAGTCGAAGCCAACACATGAGATGTGCTTATGATTCACAGTTCATCTTAAGGGCATTGATGGTCGCATTGCTGTCCGGATTTTTGTTGAAACCCTGAGGAACCAAATGTATCTTTAACGAGTACGCGTTGGCTTTCAAAGTATGGTGGGCTAGCAATCCTGGAGCAATAACCCACTGGTGCAGCAGCTGGATAGAACATAGTTCATTGTCCCCAGCTGCGCAGTGTTTACTGATTCGACTTGCAGCGGGAGTATTTGAGGATCTGGATTGGGGAGCCTTGCATCTCAAGCGCATGTTTGCCGCAGAAGTCAGAAGATTGGAAACTGAGGGCCGCACCAGGTGCTTGCGAGGCTATGCGTCCAACCTTGCGTGCAAGCACCCAGAGATCCGAGAGCTGTGACTGCAATCCATCAGACGGCGCCAAGCTTCATTCCCGATGTGCCCGCAGTGCAGTTCAGGGTGGGCGCATGGTCTCAGAGTTCCAGCGTACGTGACCAACTGTGACCACCTCATCACGGAGATACATGGAGATGTCCTCATCGCAGCCGAAGTGTGACTCATCGGCTTGCACAAAAAAGATGTCCTGCAGACTTGGCGTCATTTCCCTCGTCATACAACACAATGTAGATATCAGAATTCACTGTATAGCTTCCCAGGTCAAAATTAACTTTGATAAAGGGCGGGTGGTACCACTATTGTGTTTGCAGGCGGTAAGACGTTCCTTGTGACCAATGTCTGCGGATGCGAATTTTCCTTCTCGAATTTTTGGCATTGTGCAAGTTTTGGCATTTTTGCTGTTGAAAGTTGTCGAAGGCCTCGGACGTTGATGCAGATCCTTTGGCTCAAGCATCATGTTCCGCCTCCACAAAGAGGCTGGGCTTTCCGAAGCCAAACTGCATATACTTGAAATAATGAGCCAAAAGTTCGTAGCTGTGACTCGGTGCGGTTGGAGCCGGAGATCCGCGTATTGAAAACTCATTGTATGAGGAGATCTCATTGTTTCCATGTTGAATCCTCATGAGTTTGGGGTGAAGTCCTCAGGCGCGAGGGTCAGGCGCTGCCGAGGACACCTGCGGTTTTTTCTGTTGCCGGGAAGTTCCTAGGGATTTCAGCTAACGTTCAAGATCAGCACCTCAGTATCAGATACATCCAGAAAGATACCCAGGAACATTCACATGATTTCCTGGTCGGTGGTTTGAAACATGTTCCTTTGGTTGTCATTATCAACAATATTTGGGACGACAATCAAATCTGAATTGAAACTTGAGATCACCAAAAGTATCACAGAATGTTTGGACATTCACGAAGTCTGAGACAAGCTATCTGGACCCAGGTCTGGGAAAAATCAGGAAGGTTCACAACCCTCGAGGAGCGTCGGCCGTTCCCTGCCGAGACCAGCGCTTATCAGGCGTCAAAGTTCTGGAAATAACTTGTAACTGTTGCACTTAGTACTTACTTTTTGCAGGTCCCTTTCGCCACAGTTTGTTTATATACTGTAGTTGTTTCACTGCGTAGGCGCATGGCGCGGCTTCTTCCACAGAGGCTGCGTTGGAAAACAATCACGGGCGTACGACCAAGAAACGCAAGATGGGGCATGTCCTCACTGGAAATCATGGGGTAGCGCTGGTGTGCTCTTTTAGCTTGGGGCTACGTTCAACAGTTGGTGGTCTGACCTCTCTGGAACATTCTTCCAGTCAGCTTTTTGCACGATGCACCAGGGCATTCCTGGTCACAAAAGATTCACCTGACACTGTGTGATGCTTTTCAACTGCACAGGCACCTCAGTCTTGCTGTGGCGATGATGAGGTCGGCTTGGAAACGCGCAAACCACGGGCCAATAGCATCCAATACTTGATATATCTTGATATACTGATATACACGTAAACCTCATAGCCTCACAGTCATGCAAGGTAAGTGATCATAGCTGACCGCCGCCATATGGCGCCATGCGTCGCTACTCCTTCAGAGCCGACTCTGCAGGCACGCGTGGACGAGATCAAGAAGGATCGGTAGGGGCCGTTGAAATGGTGCATCCCGCTCCTCTTCTCCCGCCTTCCCCTCAAACTCGACCCATCGCTCATTCACTCATTGACTCACTCACTCACCCCTCATCCGTGTCGCTCATCATGTCTCATGACTCATTTTAATGCAACACGCACACACATACACACAATTGACAGGATTTACTAAGTACAACGGTGCCTTGTCTTGAAGCTTGGTCAACGTATTTTAAAAGCAACTTAATTAACACACCAGTTACTTAGTTGACAATCCAAATTGGCGATCAGGTAGTTGAAGGCGCTTGCGATCCAGATTCACGGAAAAATTCTCGAAATATTCCGGGTGCCCGAACTGTACAAAGCAGATGGTGATGAAACAAAGCTGCCAAACCATGCATCCACCCTCTGCGGGATAGCCAGGTATCGAAACCGAAGACTCCCCAGTGGAAAATGTGAATGAAAAATGGACCGCTGATCAGCTTGCATCAATCCTGAAAACTTCAACTGACTAAAAGGGTTCAACGATTGAAATTGAGAGGTCAAAAACAAAGCTTTTCTGGGAGACTTTGTTCAAAAACAGACATTGAGAGTTCCAAAACGAGGCTTTTCTGCGAGACTTCCTTCAAAAATGGAAGTTGAGAGATAAAAAAGAAGATGTTCTGTGAGACTTCCTTCAAACATGGATTTTCAAGCGGATCCTTCTCAAGTATTGCGCGTGCCACGGAAAAGGTCCGCCGAGGCATACGAAGTCCTGTAACTGAAGCGCGAAATGGTCATTGAAAATTGACATTCCCGAAACATAAAAATTGCACCCCTTTCACACATGCAGCGTCCAAGACACCCAACACCATCCGCCTAGATGACGAAATCCCTGCGCCTGCCACGCAAAATGCATCCTTGTGCGGGCCCCCTTCAAAGTCTCAGCGCCTGCCAAGGAAAACTGTCTCACGAACTAGTGCTCCGAAGCTCCCAGTTTGTAACGATATTATAAAGCCCCGATCGCTCCTTCGCCACAGCGCGGTGCACATTTTAAACACCTAAGATGCACGCCATGCGCCTGATTTACATGTCAATTGACGCCTGTCATTTCGGTTGTGTGACTTGAATCTTTGGGCCAAACCACCCTAAATCCCACAAGGGCGGGTACATACCTACTGGCTACGCCGTCTGCAGTGTGAAAAGGCTGCGACTTCGCTTGCTGTGCCCTGCTTGGCGACTTCGTGTGCACTTAGCTGAGTTGGTCCTGCGTTGTTCCAATTGCATATTGGTAGCGGAGTAGCAAGATCCAAGCTGAACCCTACTCTCTTCAGGACACTGCGCTTTGACTGACTTAGCAGCAGTGCTTGGGCTTGCTGCACTTTGTCCGGGTGTACCGCCTGACCCTCGGGCTTGCGCCTTAGCATTTCCTGCGCTCCTTGTGCTTGACCTCACGGTCGGACTGTGCATCCTGCTAGCACTTGCTCCCTTGTGCTCTACGCGCTCGGGCTTTAGCAGTGCTGTGCTTTGCTGTGCTCCACTTACCTTGCGCTACGCGCTTGGATCTTTGCGCCTTGCACTTTGCCTGGAACTATTTGCTCTACACCGTGGATTAGCTGCACTGGCACGACGTTTCAACCGGGGTTCCTTCATTCCTACAGGATTGGGCACAACGCCCAATTTCTTCGAGCGAGCGGCGCCTCACGTGCGCCCAGACTTTCGGGATATCAGTGCTGGTCTGGAAGGCTTGCGTGAAGCCAAGAAGGGCATCGATGGACTTCGATCTCGCGGTGTTATCAGGTTCATTGACCTTGACCTCGCCAACCGGCGCCACATTGATGAAGTGGAGCCTGACGAGGAAGGTTTGCAAGACGTGATGAGGTCGTCGAGCCACTCACGAGCAGACGGCGCCAAGATGATCGCCCCGGCTTGGGCCTGGATTTGCCAGATCATCACCCTGACAGGGATCTTCCCTCAAGAGGGCTGGGACTTCAAGCTGCGCCTGGACTTGGACTTGAGTCTGCTCCGGGAACTCAACTTGAGGAGTTGGACTTATATCTCCCCGATCACATGGTGCACCTTGAGCGCCCTACTCTCCAACCTTGCCAGTTCAAAGCCAACCTGTTATCAATGCGGGTGGCAGTGAATTCAGGAACCTTCAGTTCCATCACCACGACCTGAGCCCCGAGCGCCTTCTCCAGTACCACAACTTGATCCTGCCACAGCTGCTCTTATTACCAACCAGCTGGATTTGCCAAGAGAGACTTGTGGAGCCCCATGGCTCACAACTTGCTGCTTCCGGAGATCAAGATCTGAAGAACCTGCTGAAGGCTTTGCCCAAACCTATGACCTCACTGACCTTGATGTCAATGCGCTTCCTCCTGGATGGAAGCTGGAAGATGGAGCTCTCGTTCTCACTGATGAGATCCAAGACTATTGGGAGATGCGAGCAGGATGCTTTGAGGCATCCTATGTTTTCGAGGGGCCCTTTTTCGAATGAAGGACTGCACGGACTTGCCTGTCGATCCTGACTTGGTAGACCCCGTCCGAACCACTGTGGTCAAATCAATGAGAACCTCAAACTGAGGTTCTCATTGATGATGGAGCGGCTTCAAAGCTCCTCAACACCGAATGGACTGGCTGCGCTGTGTTTCAGACCAGCGTGAGATGGGTACGTTCTCTGGTGCCCTTCCCACCAGGAAGCTTGGAAAAGATCTGAAACAGAAGATGGTGCGACAGCGCAAGAAGGTTGCCAGCAGTGTGATTGATCCTCGCACCTTGACAGCAGAGCGTGCTCAATTCCAGGCCGCAAAGGTTAAAGAATTGTTTTAGTTTTTCTACAATCAGGCGTGGGAGTTTGACACCACCGAAAAGACGATGCCTGAAAGGACGCCCGCTGCCAGGATGCTTACGACGCGAAGGCGAAAGCCAGACTGAGTTGCAGACGCCCTCCAAGCTGACCCTCACCACTCTTTTGCGGTGGCAACTCTGGGGTGCAGATGTTGCCAGGGCACGTCTCTAGGGATTGCCGCAACAGCGGAAGCTCTGGGTGAAACTGCCAGCCGAATGCTTGCAGCTTTTGGGTGCTTCAGCCGAGACGCGCATGCTGCTGCTGAAGCCTGTGTATGGCAGCTTGATGCGCCACAACGATGGTTCTCAGAGGCAGTTTGCTGTTTGCGCGAGCTTGGGCTTCGCCAGCGCAGCCTTGATCCATGCGTGTTCCTCGCCTATGAGACGGATTTCCCACAGCTTGCACCTTCTGAGCCCCTTGATGGACTACTTGGAGAAGATCGACTATATGGCTGCTTTTGTTCACATGGATGACATGCCGGGATCAGGTAACATCCAATCTGCAGCCTGGCAGCGCATCACCACCGAGCTCAAGCCAGGGAGGATACATTGTGATGCTGGTGCCGGACCACGCCCTCACCACCACCAAGGATTGGTTCCGCGTCATTGATTGGCGGTCGCTGAAGCCACAGTTCCGTGGGCGCCGGGACTCAGGCAGAATCCCCGCCCACTGACTTCATTTGCAGGTTCTGGTATCACCTTTTGAATCCCAACCTGCGTCTTGCTTGCAGAACTTCCGAAGCGGAAAGGCGCCTTGCAACCAGTGCTGGTGACTGATGTGAAAGGAGACTGTGATTCCCTCCACCGAGAATCAATTTCCAGCCGCCTGGTTGACCGCCGTAGCTTGATTTTGGTGGCAACCTTCACTGGGTAACGTCACAGCGGCAGTATTCCGATGGGCTCGCCAAGATGTTTGCGAGAAAGTTGCTAGCAACTATGTGGCCGCCAAGAAGAAGACCGCCCATAGGACAACGTGGAGAAACGTGCCAAACAGAGGCAACGACGTCGAGCCATCACAATCAAGATGGTCTGGAAGATGAAGGTCAAAAAGCAGAGGCTGACCATCAGAAAACGGGTGCATAGTTGGAGGACACCGCTGACTTTGCGGATCCTTTGAGGACCCTGCTGCGCTTGACCCTGAGCAGGTCACTGAGCTAGTCCTGAGGTGTGTGGGCCCTTTGCAGGCCCCCTCACAGAGTCCTTTGCCTTCGTTGCCTATTCCGATGAGATGATTGAGTATGTGGACGCGGTCCCAACCGTGAACACCAATGTGGAAGATCTCTCTGGGATCTATCAGCAGCTGCGCTTCTGGATTTCACTTTGCGGCATTTTGCCCACGGGCTTTGACTTCACGGCCTTCTTTTTGCCATTCTGCTTGTGGCGTTTCTTGTGCCAACTTTCTTCAACTTCAAGAAGCAGGCGCAAGCCGCAAGCCCAATTTCAAGACTCTTACTATGCAGCCTTTCTTCAACAGCTCAACAGCTCCGACCTGAACTGACCAGAGCCCAAGCGCTTGCTGTGACTTTCGAGCAGATGGGCATTGAGATGAATCCACGCATGGAACCATGTAATGGCCGGCCAAAGCTGCCGAATGCCCCTGAATTTTATTAGACAGGCCAGCTGCTGAGCCATCACATGTGTGCTGAAGGTGCGCTGCGGTGTGCTTCGTTGCGTCAGGTGGCAGCGAGCCAAATTTTGAAGATTTGATCGTGTTGATTGTGAAAACCCTGTTGTGAGTAGTTGCCCCAAGAGCGACAAGCGCCTGGTTTCATTTGCGGTTGAGCACATCCGCCGAGAAGCAGCTCGCTTGCTCGCGACCGGGCGCGGCTGGAGTTTGCCGACGGGCGATGCATGTGTGTCGCAGGGCCTTGGTAGATGTGCCCCTCAACGGCCTTATTTGGGTCACAGATGATGATGTCTGGCATGCAGTTCCTCAATGCCGTACGTTGCCAGATGATTTGGCCTACAGGCCTTGCCCCGTATGCTCCAGTCGCGCCGTATGCTGAGGACGCGCTAGGTCGCGCTAGGACACATGTCATTATGTTTGTGTGACTTGAATCTTTGGACCAAACCGCCCTAAATCCCACACGGGCGGGTACTTACCTACTGGCTGCGACTTCGCTTGCTGTGCCTTGCTTGGCGACTTCGTGTGCACTTATAGCTGAGTTGGTCCTGCATTGAGTTATATTGAATTCCACAACTTCATACATCTCAACTTCCATTAAGTGCTCCAAGCATGCCAGTTTTAACGCTGTGACTCTCGATCGCTTTCTCGTTACAGGGATGCGCAAACTTTGAACATCTTATATTCAAGGCGTGCTCTGGACCTGCCAGTTTTTAGGGATTTTGACTTCGAAATTGCTCTCTCGCTGTAGCGTGGTGCAGATTTTGGGCCATCTCATGTCGCCAGATCCATCCGCGCCCGCCGCCTTAACGAGCCTACCTTTCGAACCACAAAACCTTGGGAAAAAAACACCGTGCTTCGCGACATCCTTAGCATTTTGCGCGCTTGGATCTTCTTTCTTCTGACTCTTCTTCTCTTCTGAGTTTCCTCTCTTCCAGCTCTTCTTCCAGTACCTTCTCGTTGAGGGATAATGTCCCCGCCATGGTGGAGACCCAGTGAAATCTGCTATGCGAAAGCTGTCCCGAGATGCGCCCCTTGATCCCAGTGTGGGCCCAGGATCGCATTGAAGAACGACGGTTTGATGGCTTCTTGGACCGCGTGAGCGCAACATACCTAAACACGCCAGCGCGCGCATGCATAAGTTCGTCAGAGCACCCAGACAACATTCACGCACGGCGCGGCGCAACAATAACGCGACGCGTGCGCCATCCACCTTTCCATTTTCTTCTCTCCTTTCCCCTTCTCACTTGCCTACCTTGCGTCTTATTCTTGCCGCCTTCCTTTCTCCCGTCTACTCGTCTATTGTCATGTGGTTTTGCTGCTATCGTTGGGGGGTTGGTAACATGTGGGTTTTTCCGGCCCTTTAATTTTGCAATACTTTTTAAATCCTTTGTCGCCTTTGAGTTTGAGCAAGGGATCGTGTGAGATTGCAAATTGGTTTCAGATCTCTTCTGGGATTTCATGGCCATTTGGAGCTGCCGGTGGCGGCGGAGGCTTTCGCAAGAGAAATGCCAGACAACTTTGACAAGGCAGAATCCATCGCAAAAGCAGCCCTGGACATGCCAAACAAAGATCCAACAAATAATGAATCCGTAAATTTGTTTTTTGAGAGGGACGGTCGCGTTCATAGAGTCAGAAACGCTCGTGACTTTTGGAAAAGGAATGCTACCTCACTTCTTCGAGGTTTGGAGTCTCCAGCTCTGGTTTTGCGGTTCGCCAGGTAGTTGTTTACTCTTTGCGAACAGCACTGGCCTGCAGAGAAAGGGCCCGCGTGATGATCGCAGACTTGCTGGTGCGTTTGCGCCAGGAGCTGCCGAATAACCCAGCAATCACACCATGGATGTACACCTGGGATGACATGGGTCTCTTAGTGGTGTTAAGGCCAAAATTTTGGTTTAAGAGGCGACATGATGGTGAACACAGTAAGTCGCACTCCCATACCCACTTGTTGCCATTCATGTATAAACTTTAAACCGGTGCCGGTGGGAACCCGTGACACGCAGGACAGAGTTCTTGACTGCCCTTCACTGGTTTGGGGTTTTGCAGCATTGATTTGTACCTGGCAGGCTAGACCAGGGTGCTTTGAAGAGTTTAGCTGCGTTTGCCAGTCGCATTTAGCGGTCAAATCTTTCATCTTCCTGACCCAGGTTTTGTTTGATCGTACGGTATTGACACGCATTGACCACTTTTCCTGGTCGTTGCAGTTGACGGCTTTGACGCTTTAGTTATTCGGGCGTTCAATATATTCCACGAAATCATCTATCTATCTATCTATCTATCTATCTATCTATCTATCTATCTATCTATCTATCTATCTATCTATCTATCTATCTATCTCTCTATCTCTCTATCTATCTATCTATCTATCTATATATATATATATTTAATATATACATAAATATTATATATATATTGCGAATGGGGACTAGGCAGATGTACATGTGCCATGTAGTTGCAGATTGACATGCATCACGCCACTGATATTGTGGCTCAAGAATGCGTAAAAAGGAACTGTCGCGCTCTTCTGCATGCCGCCAGCGTTGCTGACAGCCGCCTGTTGAGTACTAAGGTTTATTTGTTCACAGGTTATCAGCCGTAAGGGCTCTAACTCCCATCGGGAGCAGAGTACCTGTGTGCTGTTAGCCAACGCCTAGAGCAAAGGATCGTGAACGCAAAGGGCCGATCAGCTCTACATCGCAAAGATGCAAGGCAGCAGTGGTGAGACGCATTATACCTTTGAGTTTCACAATCTTCACGAGAACAACAAAGTCTGGATGGCAAATGACAGGACGACAACGGAGGGCACCAACCAGCACTCCAAGATCGGCTCGAAGTGGGACTGGTCGATGGAGCCCTCGATCGCCGGCAAGAGCATCTACCAGGCCGAGGACTTCGAGAGCAATCGAGGACCAACCTGGACGGTCAGCAAGTGATGTTCGAGCCACAAGAAGATCAACGGACACAAGTGGTAGTAGAGAACCATTTTCAGTTATTGATCCATTTTCAGTTATTGATGAACTCAGGGCACAATGCCAATCTCTACAAGAAAAGGTGACCCAATTGGAGATGTATGCTAAGTCACGGGATCAAGTTATCAACGACATTGAAATCAAGTTCACGGAATACCTTCGGGATCACAACCAACAAGTTTTCAATGAAGTCAATCATCTCAACAGACAGTTAGTGTATTCCACAAATGAAGTTGCAGAATATCAAGTGGAGTTAATGTTAGCCTCACAAGAAGACGAAGGTGCCACCATGCGCATTGAAGACCTTGAACGCCGAGGTGTGCTTATGGAACATGGTGCCAGGAGAATCCATGAGCGAGGGTTGGAGATCCAGGAGGAGTACAAGGATGAAGTGTACCACCTTCGAGGACTACTGGTTAGCACCGAATCTAGGTTACAGCAAGTGCAGTATGATAGTAACCTTGCAAAGAGTGTTGCCGAAAGGTTGTTTCAAGAAGGTACTGAGATGCAGGTGGGTCTGGAGAATTCCATAGTGGAGTATCGTAATCAATCTGAACTGGCATCATTTTCACACACTCATCTAGAGATGGCAAGTCAGAAGCAATTATGTTAATGAGCTGAGTGATGAGAACAAACTTCTGAGCGAAGCACTTGTACATTCACGTAAGCAAGCTGAACCGTATGAAAGCAACATGGAGCAGATCACCAGGGAATACAGGAAGAAAGTGCATGATGCAAACCAAGCTAGAATAGAAAGGGATCTACGCCACAAGACCACGGAACATGATACAGTAAAGCGAATTGCTAACTACAAGAATGTCGAAACCGAAGCGATTGCCCAGTTAAGGTTGGAATCAAGTATCAGCGCAAGTGCAAGTGACAAGATGGAGCACTACGAAAAGCTCTACGAGAATGAGCGAGCCTTGACCGATGAGTTCAGGGCTGAAGTCAAGGACCGGGAGACTAAACTTAGGCGATCACTGAATGAGAATCCAATGGCCACCGGCCAAGGTTCTAACCGCACTGCGATTGAACATCTTGAGACTGAGACTAAGATTGCACAGGTTAAGGCCCAGGATCTTGTTGGAGAAGTTGGTGATTGCATGCGTGCCAGCGTCAGGCTGAGGGAGGAATTGACGGAAGTTTCGGAGCAAGGGTCATCGGCCCACTTCGGATCTGATGTCGCCATACTAAGGTCTGAGTTGGAGACTGAACGAAAGTTGAAATTAGCTAGTGGTGCACAACAATATGAGAGGTCATGTGAGTACTTGGGTGAGTTACGGGAGAGAGATGAGAGATTAAAGATGAAGAATTCTGAGATCATGAACATGAAACATGATGTTGATGATTTAAGAAGGAGTCTTAAAGAGGCTGAAGCGATCATCAGATCTCAAGCAACTATGAGCATGCTCCCGTTCTCTGCAGGTATACCTCCCAATATTCCCTCATCAAAGATGGTCATCGAGAAGCTGGAGAACGAAGTAAACGCTGCAAACAATGAGGTGAATGTTCTTAGAGCATGGGTACGACAGTTAGACGAGGCGTTAACTGAGGAGAACAATGCGGCGAGTGCCAACAACATCCCTGCTGTCGAGAACGCCTATCAACTATCATCTCAGCCAGATCAAAGAGTATCCAAATTACTTCGTGATGTTGATCAGAAGATTGCAGCAGGAATCGGAGTAAGGATTGCTGAAGGTGCAGGACTACCAGATTATGGTGTGCCAAATGGTGGGGGTGGGCCGTCGTTTCCGAATGGACCGCCAGATCCAGGTGGACCTCCAGGACCACCAGCTCTACCTTCATTACGGGGATCTCAGAGAGACTCAGCAGCTGATGATGTGTCGACCGCAGCATTCACTGCAGATGAACCTCCAAGAGTTTCCCGTCGTGAAGCTGGCAAAGTGTATGTCAGTCCATGGCCGAAGCATCAAAACCTAGGAGTTTGGCAATCTGATCTCATCAAGAGTGTTTGTCTTGCAGCCAACGATGGTGATCGAGCTGCATGGGAGGCATGGTTGCAACCGGCAACGAGGATGAACCCAGACATAGGTGCCCTGAACGACAGTGGTGGCCAAAGATTCCAGTCAATCGATGCCAAGCTCTCCATTGCACTGTCGAATGTCATCACTCAAGCTGGTGATGCTGCGCGACATGTCGGGATGAAGTTGAGGTTGAGGACTCAGGCACACAGTCGAAGAGGTACCTACGTCATGGGGCGGGAGATCCTTGCAATGATTCTGGAACACTTCAGGACACCTGGGCAACGGGAGACTGCATTCACTATGGAGCACATAGTCCAGGCTAGATACCTGGGAGATGCGAACCTCGAGATGTTCTATGAGAAGTGGATGGAAATGGTTTCCAACATGATGCCGGATGACGTACCTCCTGATGATTGGCTGCGGGACGCTCTATACAAGAAGATCAGAAATTCAAACTTGATGGTATTTGACATAAAGCAGTACGAGTCATGGATGGAGGGTGACCATAGCAAGAATTATCAGCATCTTCTCAATGTCATTGAACGACACATTGCTAGAATAAGAGAGGATAAGCATGTAGCAGCCAGAGAGAAGTATGCCAGGGATTTCGCTGGTGGAGGAAAGCCGACAGCACCTACACCAACTGCACCTGCTCCACAAGATGCAAATGCCAAAGCGAAGGCAAAGGCAGCTGCCAAAGAGAAAGCCGCTCCGAAAGCCAAAGCGAGGCCTGAAGCCGCTCCTGTTCTACCATCTCCCCAACCGAAACAGCAGGCCAAAGGAAAAGGACAAGGGAAGAGAAATGGGAAATCCAAGAGCCGGAGCGCGAGTCCCCGAGAAAAGAAGAAAATCCCTTGCCATTTTCACTTTGTCAAGAAGTCTTGCAAGAAGGGAAAGGATTGTGAATACAGTCCTGATCAAAAGACCTTTGACGCAAGCAAGAATAGCGGTTCGGGAAAAGGAGGTGGAAAGACGCCAAGAGGACAGTCTCCAGCGAACAAGACCAAGAAGGTTGATGAGCCATGCTGGCACTGGGCAAAAGGGAAATGCCGATTTGGCGACAAGTGCAACAGAAAGCATGATCCGCACTTATTCAACACAGCACCCAATACTGAATCGACTTTTTCAAAGGCAACTCCTGCACTTCTTCATGATGACAGTGACATCGAAGAACCGCTCTTCAAAGCCGCATCTAGCGAGATGAAGAAGAAGGTCAATTTCAACATGAAGGAGAACAAGATCTACGCCAACGAGAGAAATATTTTGTGAAGAGTGCCCGGAAGTTTCAAACAGATCCTAAAGGACATGGGAAGGTGGGTAGGACCACAGAAGATATCAGGAAAGATGAACAGTGGACCTACTCATGTAGACTTGCACGTAGTTGAGGTAAAGCAATGGCCATAATTCTGGATGAGAACTATGAATACTGTGACATTGATGAAGTTCTTGTTATCGTTGGCCCATCATTGGACATTATGATCAAGATGGAATATGAAGATGATGAAATATCACGTGAAGTTTTCGCTGAGAACTATGTCCAACATGTTGAGGGTCGATATGGCAAGAAGGGCAACACCATGTGTATCACAGTTCCAGTTGAAGAAAGAGATAAGAGATTCATTATCGATTCCAGAAGTGGGCATGACCTCATCTCCGCAAAGAAGATCGATAGAATGGATCTCCCAACATACGATGATTCTGTCGTGAACTTTCATACCGCAAATGGAGTAACATGTTCCACAAAGCGATCCGACATCAAGTTCGATGCATTCGATGAACCTGCAAAGGCTCACATTCTGGAGGACACACCGTCGGTGATATCCATGGGCAAACGATGTGTTGACCTTGGTTATTCATTCATTTCGCCATCTGGGAAGAGTCCGTATATGCTTGATGCCAACGGAAACATCATTGAAATGACTGTCAAAGACTATATTCCTTATCTAAGTGTGGACCAAAAGAGAAAGAAGGGGAATTCATCTAAGATTGCTAAGATCCTCAACATCATCAGTGATGAATGTCCAACCTCTGAGGGTGAAAGTTTGATGGTTATTGATGGTGAAAGCGGAGATGAGCTGGAAGATCTGACCGACAGCGTCGGAAGATCGGAAG